TGACTTGGAGTATATCAGGATGTCGTCCAGGTAGGCAAACACCCACCGTCCCAACATGTCACGGAGGACATCATTGATTAAGCGTTGGAAAACGGCGGGGCTATTGCACAGTCCAAAGGGCATGACCTGGTACTCCCAGTGACCGGTGGGGGTGATGAACGCCGTCTTCCACTCATCTCCAGCTTTGATACGGACCAGGTTGTAGGCGCTCCGGAGGTCCAGCTTGGTGAAAATCCGCGCCTGGGGGATGGCATCCAGGGCGGACGTGAGGAACGGCAGAGGATGGCGATCTCTGACTGTGATCTTGTTCAGTCCTCTGTAGTCAATACAGGGGCGGAGATCACCCTCCTTTTTCCTCTCAAAGAAGAAGCCTGCGGCACCTGGGGACGACGAGGGTCGGATGAAACCCTGCCGGAGGGCCTGGTCGATATAGTCCTCCATAGCTCTGGACTCGGCGGGGGAGAGAGAAAAAAGGCGCCCCCGGGGTGGACTGGTTCCTGGCTGGAGCTTGATCTCCATGTCGTATGGACGGTGAGGCGGCAGTGCGGTGGCTCGCTGCTTATCGAACACCGCGGCCAGATCCCGATAGGGCGGTGGCAGATTGGGTGGCGCCGAACCGGAGCCACCTTCCGGGCAGTCAGGTCGAGGTGGAGGAGGAGAGAGGTGGGTCTGGCACTGGGCCCCCCATTCCAGAAGGCGAGCTTGGGACCAGGAGATCCGTGGGTCATGGAGGCAGAGCCCAGGAAACCCCAGGATTAGAGGAGAGGAGGGAGCATGGATGATCAGGAAATGGAGGGTGTCCCAGTGGCCCTGGACTGTCATCTGGAGAGACTGTGTTCAGTTTTGGACAGGGTAAGGCTGGAGGGGCCTGCCGTCCACCGTGGTCACTGGTACAACCCTCTCCAAGGGGGTAGTGGGGATCCGTAGGCGTTCAGCCAGATCCACATCCATAAAATTGTCAGCGGCCCCCGAGTCCACCAGCGCGTGCATCTGGAGCAAGGTCTCGCCATATTGGAGGATGACGTGCAGAAGGAGCCGATTGGAAAGGGCAGGGGTTGGAGGTGACCCAGGCTGAGCGACCCCGACACTCAGTGGGTTCCTTCGTTTCCCGAACGGAGGGGGCAGTTCATGTGTCTGTGGTCGGGGGAACCACAATAGGCGCAGAGGCCCTCGTGCCACCGTCGCTGTCTCTCCTCCGGAGGAAGGTGACCCAGTTGCATGGGCTCCTCAGTGGCAACGGGTCCAGGAGTAGGCGTGGGGGGACGAGGAAAAAGTCCAGGCGTCCTGGATGGGCGAATGAGAGGCTTGGGCCGAACCAAAACCCGCTGATCCATGCACAATGCCAGATCCACAACTTCATCCAGGGTCTGGGGTAGCTCCTTTCCCGCCATCTCATCCCGGATTTAGGTTGCCAGTCCCTCCAAGAAGACGGCTCGGAGGACAGAGTCATCCCACCGCAGCTTGGCGGAGATGGTGCGGAACTCCGATGCATATGCGCACACAGAGCGCTCCTTCTGGCAGAGTTTTAGGAGTCGTGTCTCTGCCCCCATTTCGCTGCTGGGTGGAACAAAAGTCTTTCTGAGGGCGGCCACGAATGCAGCATAGTCGTTGCACTCCAGTGATTTGGAGTTGTAGAGCGCAGCGGCCCATTCTGCCGCGCGTCCGGAGAGCAGGGAGGTGAGCTGTGCCACCCGAGAGCGCGCAGTGGGGAAGCGTCCTGGGTGGCACTCGAACTGCATGTCGAGGGTAGCAAGCAGACCGTCTGGACTCCCCGTCTCTCCATTCCACTTCTCCGGGAGACTGAAGTGTGGCTTTCCCGTCGGTGGAGTGAGGGCTTGCAACTGGAGCGCATGAACCTGCTGCTGGAGTGCCGTGACGGCAGTAGACATCTGCAGGGAGAGATCGGTCTGGGAGTTCAGCCTGGTGTTAAGCCGGTCGACCAGGGCGTGGAGCTGAACATTCTCGCTTACAACCTGCTCCAACTTCCTCTTCTCGAACTCCGCTGGATTAATGGACTCAGTCATCCTGTCAGACTCGAAGACTGGTTTCGGGAGTACGAGCTTTATTAGAGACTGCTGGCTGCAAGCGGTGCTGGAAAGGCTGACGGAAGGATGAGGTCTGAGTTAGAAAGGTGGAGGTTTAGCTGTATTAGCTTCTGAATACTCTGATCATGGAACACGGTGGAACAATGACTGAGTGAAGAGCCGGTGTGGCGTCTTCCATATATAGACATGGATGACGCAGGTGCAACGTGGAGGGAATCCCCGCGAGGGGCATGCTGGGTAATGTGGTCTGAGACAGAAGCCGGTCAGCTGGGAGAGCCCGGCCTGGGGGCTTGGACTCTGACACAGCACCCAAGATGGCTTCAGCTTTAGTTGACGAACAGATGGCAGAATTCATGGTTCCATTTATCACAGCAAGCCTTTCAGTTGCTGAAGCAGCAAAACAACCCCAGACCATCACACTACCACCACCATATTTTACTGTTGGTATGATGTTCTTTGTCTGAAATGCTGTGTTACTTCTACGCCAGATGTAACGGGACATTTGCCTTCCAAAAAGTTCTACTGTTGTCTCATCAATCTACAAGGTATTTTCCCAAAAGTCTTGGCAATCATTGAGATGTTTCTCAGCAAAATTGAGACAAGCCCTAATGTTCTTTTTGCTTAACAGCGGTTTACGTCTTGGAAATCTGCCATGCAGGCCATTTTTGCCCAGTCTCTTTCTGATGGTGGAGTCGTGAACACTGACCTTAATTGAGGCAAGTGAGGCCTGCAGTTCTTTAGAAGTTGTCCTGGGGTCTTTGGTGCCTCTCGGATGAGTTGTCTCTGCGCTCTTGGGGTAATTTTGGTCGGCCGCCCACTCCTGGGAAGGTTCACCACTGTTCCATGTTGTTGCCATTTGTGGATAATGGCTCTCACTGTGGTTCGCTGGAGTCCCAAAGCTTTAGAAATGGCTTTATAACATTTACCAGACCGATAGATCTCAGTTACTTTTGTTCTCATTTGTTCTTGAATTTCTTTGGATCTTGGCATGATGTCTAGCTTTTGAGGTGCTTTTGGTCTACTTCTCTGTGTTAGGCAGCTCATATTTAAGTGATTTCTTGATTGAAACAGGTGTGGCAGTAATTGAACTCAGGTGTGAAACACCACAGTTGGGTTATTTTTTAACAAGGGTGGGCAATTACTTTTTCACACAGGGCAATGTAGGTTTGGATTTTGTTCTCTCCCTAAATAATAAAAACAATCATTTCAAAACTGCATTTTGTGTTAACTTGTGCTATCTTTGACTAACGGTTAAATGTGTTTGATGATCAGAAACATTTTGTGTGACAATCATGCAAAAGAATAAGAAATCAGGAAGGGGGCAAATAGTTTTTCACACCACTGCAGTATATAATTCACTAACATTTTTATATTTCAATGTAATTTAGACTAGATTATGTTGCCAACCTGTACATAATAAAATAAATATGCTACAAGTACATTGTTACAAGTAGAAATTAAATGTTAGCATTTCTAGTAGCTTACTACTGAACAGGTTAATGAAATAATTAAATACTACTCATTATATGTGAATATTTTTAGATTTTGACTGGGATGAGGTCAATACAAACGTAAATTGTGAATGAAATGTAAGTTAAATGTTGTTCCATAAAATATTTATTAACTATAAATGTCAGCTGGGAAAGAGGGAACTAGACAACACCAATTTAATATATATTATTGAGCCTTTTATCGTTTTGCTTTTTATTTTCATATTTTTAGCAGCAGACCATGATCTTGTTTCACTTGAAACATCATCAAACAGAATACTTGATTAATCGATGGAAGATTAGATAGAATACTCGAATACTAAAATATTTAATAGCTGCAGCCCTGTGCAGCTGTGTTTATGATCCGTGTGTTTTCCTAGTCCATTATATGATTTTCTCTTGTACAGTGGTCTGTTATGGCTGGTATTTTATTGTGCTTTGTACTTCCTGTTTTGGAGTTCTTGTGTGTCTTTGACTTGTTTCCTTCTCTCACTCTTTTCTATGTTCTATTGTTTGTGTGTTCTGCATGAAAGACCTGGAATAAAGAATGTTTCTGTCCCACATGAGAGGTCATAGAGTTGGGTCGGCATTTATTTATCTATTTATCTGTTTGTTTGTTTGTTTGCAGTCAAAGACAGTGCATGCTTGAGCTCGCAAATTGATGTCTTAATCGAAGAGGTGCTTTATTAAAATTCTGGTATTTCTCTAATTAGTAACATAGTAAATACAATATAATACATTATATTATGTAGCTGTTTGCTTTCATCAAACCTTTCAACATTTCCTTAGCTAGCGACCTCAGAGAAGTGTTGTAAATGAGAAGTGGGGCTGAGAGTAAGTCCAACCCCAGTCACGTGACTCAGAGCAGTGGCAGGAACATAAGCTGTGTGGCTCTTTAACATGAATGTTTTATTGTCTAAAAGCTTGTTTTTCCTATCATAACAACCTGTAAAGGTCAGCAAAACAGATTTATTTGATCTTGTAAAATTTCATAAATCTTTGCTAGTCTGGACCAATAAGAGCTGGTTTGACGTGGTCTGATGGAACGCGCTGTACGCTTTTAGCTGTCACTGTACTTCCTGGTCTCACAAATTAAGTTGACCTAGATGACTTAAGAAGAAGAAGAAAATATCATTTCTAACTTAAGGTTGGGGCAACAGCTTCAGATTGAAACCCTTTCCACAATAAAAGCCCTGGGCAAGTAAACGTGCTTAAGTAAAATAAATGCTCAAAATGTTTGAAGGTCTTTGCAGTAAGCCACAAATACACCAATCAATGATGTGTGTCATGCATTCATCCTGCTGACTAACCAGCCTGGTAAATATGATGATGAATGGTACTGCTGCTAAAATCTGTACTCATATGAAAACAGAAAATATTCATACTACCAATAATACTAACACTACTACTACTACCAATAATAATCTTTTTGTCTGTAGCTCATGCTTAATGTCTCTCCTAACAGCTTTTGCCCAGCTCCTTTCCTCATCTTGGATGAAGTGGATGCAGCTCTGGACAACACTAACATTGGGAAGGTCAGATCCATGCTGCAGGGTTTATTAGTAATAACCACTCTTGATCATTACTTAAGCAGATATTATGAATCAGTTTCTCGTTGATCAACACAAATAAATAACTTCTACAGATAATTGATATCTGAAGTAACAGCACTTACAACTATAAGAAAACCAGACAGAGGTGTCCCAACTAGTTTCAGCAAGGACCAAATGGGGTATAGCATTGTCATATTAACTTTTACATTTTCAAAAATAATCTGACTAACTGATCGACTTTTTAGTTAAAAAGATTGCACATTTGTAGTGTTCTCTCAAACAGGTGGAGCTTCTATGTGCATATAGGTGTGATACAGATAATCTAGTGAATTCTCATCTCCCCTCTGCTTCTGGGCTACAGTATATATTTAGTCTCCCTGAGCCTGAGATCAGTGGACTCGGTGGTCTCCTTTAAAAGCAGCTGAAAACTCACCTGTTCGAGCTGGCTTTGGTTGATTCTTCATCACAACCTTCTCCTCATTCAGCTCTTTCTACCAATTCTGCCTTTCTCGGGATCCACTGATTACTTTTTCCCAATTTTATGATAACTTTTCATCTTTTTTTATTTTTGAATTTACCTTCTTGTGAAACGGCTCGTGATTTTTATCTTGGAGAGGCAAAACGTAAAAGATTGACTTTGCAGGGTGGCCATCCACTGCTAAGGTCTTACTCGAACACAAAAAGCTGCTTGCTTGCAGTGATTTAGGTGTGTGCCATCCCCTGTCACCATGGAAAATACGCATTTTTCTATGTCATAATTATGAGATGCAAGAATTTTATTCAGTGTGGCATTAATGGGCTTCCATTCCATAATACACTTTACTGTTTGAACAAGGGAAAAAACATCTGCAAGAAAATAAGTTAACTTATTAGTTTATAAGTAGCTAATTGTGTGTCCATTATTTTATAATTCAGTACTTTTCCTAAATCTAATTTATACTTCACCGTCTTTATGCGTTTTGCAAGAGCTCTCCAATGGGCTCGCAGAGGGTGATGGAAGACATGCCCAAATTATCCGTCAAAAGGGATGGAGACCAGTGTTAATTTTGACAGGACATTTTAATTTTATTTTAGTCTTAGTCTTTTGGCTAAAAATTAATTTTAGTCTTAGTCCAATTTTAGTCATTAGATTTATTTTAGTTTTAGTCCCATTTTAGTTGATGAAAATAACAAGTAATTTTAGTCGATAAAAATAAGTAATTTTAGTCAACAAAATGCATATATTTTTTCTAATGAAGTAATTTCCTACTTTTGTATAGAGCACGGAAAAACTAGTGTAATTTAATACACAGGGTACAAACTCTTAACCACCACTGATCAGATATAGCACACACAGCTAAGAACATAGAATATTTGAATAAAAAAACCACTTCACATGTTTAACACTTACGTGTTTAATAAAACACAAAAAGCACACTGGAAATTACAAAGGTGCTCTTTTTAGCAATTGCACAACAATAATTTTCAAGAACAGCAAATTTAAACATGTTAACCCTGAGTCTGTAGATATTCACTTGTTACAACACAGGCTCAACCAAACAGTGTGAATATTTATTTGCTGCGATTCATTTTGAGAAAAGCACTTCGTGCTAGTGTGACCTTTGCTCGGTTGCGTTTTCCTCTAGTGAGGTCACCTGTGATACTGAACACTCTTTCTGCAAAAGATTGAGAAGCTGGCATTGCCAATATATCTAATGCTAATGGTTTCAGGCTGTGATAAAATGTGTCACATTTTCCAAGCCAAAACTCCATTCCCGTTTCACAAGTGATGGACTGTGAGAGCTCTTCCTTATACTGGCTTATCTGCTGTCTAACACTACACTTGGAAGACTTTGGTTTAGGCTTTGTTCCAAATTTGGAGAGAAACCTAAAGACTGGTTGTCTGGAGGAGGAGGAGGAGGCAGATGATGAAGAGGAGGCGGCGGCGGGTGGTGCCGGTTCAGGTCCATTCAGTTCCTCCAGATCAGAGTGGTTCTCCTGTGTCTGAGAGCACCGAACAACATACCCTTCTGCCTGCTTGAGCAGCTCCTGAATGTTATCAGCCACATTGAGGAGGGTCTGACACACAGTAGGATTGAGAAAGCAAGCAGCTGCTACAAGTGGGGAAAACTTGTCATCTGAGGGATCAAGTACTCAGGCAAAACGCTGGTTCACATTCCCTTCCATTTTACATGCTAGAGCAGCAACATCTCGACTTGTGTTTTGTTCCACATCTGCCATATGGCTGAGTAAATCAAAGAGAGCAGGGAGTATTAATGACATAGACATTGTGTCACTCTGAAGAGTTTGTGTGTGTTCAGCAAAAGGCTGCAAAAGTTCTTGCATTGACTTCAGCTTCTGCCACTCACTTGAGAGCAAGCAGTCCCATCCCATCTCGTTTGCTACTTCACAAACAGATTCTGTAACTTAGAGGAGACGTGCAACCATTTCATAAGTACTTGACCAGCGTGTGGGGCAGTCATTCACAACAGTTAGGCCTTACTCATCCAAAATCTTCTGTGTTGCGACTGATGACTTACGAAAAAGTTTCACGATTGATCGGACTTTGTTCAAGACTCTGTTGATGCTTTCCTCCTTGTTTATCGTGTGGACAACAAGCTGCAGCATATGGACGACATATGGCATCCTGTCCATGCCTAGGTCTTGACACTGCAGGTTTTCTGTCTCCTTGGAATCACTTTCACTTAGGATGGATGCATCTGGATCATCGGAGCTGGAATCTTCATTTTCTGGAGCACTATGTTTGAATGCTGCCACCACATTGCTACCATTGTCTGTTATTACAGTGAGAACTTTCTCTTTTAGGATCCCCCATTCTTGCATGCACTTTTCCACACAAGCCTTAATGGACAGTAAGTGTTCTGGTTTTTGTTATTCAACACAGAAAAAGCAGCAACTTATGCCAAGGAATGATGCTCTCAGTCCCTTTTTAGTCCACAGATCAGTCCCAATACTGTACATACTTTTCTGGCACTAGACAGTCTTTTCTTAAATGTAGCTTTTTTGTTTTCATAGTGTTTTTCAATTAGATTACTTATTTTGGTTTTCTTTGGCACAGTAAACTTCTTATCCAAACTTTCCATCATCAGAATAAAATCCTCATCTTCTACTGTTGTGACCGGCAATCCTGTACATCCAATCCATGTAGCGATAGCCTCTTCTTTAATTTGTTGTTCTTTGGCATCACTCTTGTACTTTGTAGTACTTGTAAATGCGTCCTCAATGTTCTGGTTGGACATTTTTGCCTTTTTGGTAGCTGGTTGGCCACCATCAGCAATGGTTTTCTGCAACTGCAAAAAAAATAAAAATACACAATTAAAACATTGACTTTCTAACAATGATTTACCTATTGCTTTTTGAGATTTCATACATTATATTATATATACATATATATATATATATATATATATATATATATATATATATATATATATATATATCACGAATCGGTAAAACATCTGTGTGGGCTCGGGACTTGGATCATATCAGTGCAAACCAGACATTGTGAAAATTATAAACAACCAAAAGCATGCTTCACTTTACTGGTCTAGTCCTGGTTTAGAGCGCACGTGCAGCGAGCGGCTGCGACCCATAAAGTACCAGAACCGCTCATGGCGCATGCGCAATCATGCATCAACACTGCTCGCCCGCTATTTCCCTAATAACACACGTTATAGTCGTGAAAATACGGTACTTCCGAATTTTTATCCCAACATGACAGAGTTGATACAGTTTTATTTGCCTGTATAATACTTTTCGGGTCGTCACGTGTACATTTAAGTGGATTTACCTTGGAGAAAATGGCGAAGTGGCCATTCTGTAGAAGCCTCTTCAGATTCGTTGTGTTCTTTCCTCGGAACGACAGTCCACACTCTCGGCATGTAGTTTTGGTAGCAATGTTATCATAAGAAAAATGACCACACATCTTCTCTTCTTTTTCGCCCAGCAGTTAACATTTTCCTCTACTCCTTCTTATGCCGTCGATATATTCAGTGAGCTATGTTTAGCGTACCGCCGCGCATACCTGCCCCTTTATACTATTCGGGGTCTGTCTTCTCTCACGTCCCGCACGTTCACGGCACGGCACGCCCCATGTCTTCTACTACGTTCGCGTCTCACAACAACACAATAGTCGCACCGCACCATAGAGCGCCATGTGGAAGAGCTTCATCGTGGATTTTCGTCTCGTCTTTCATTCGTTGACTAAAAGTTTCAATCAATTTAATTATCGTCTTCGTCTTTTTCCAAGCTTTTATTTTGAAATTTTGTTTCATTTTCGTCTGTAAATATATTTTCGTGACGAAAAAAAAGACAAAAATATTTTGTCAACAAAATTAACACTGATGGAGACCACAAGTTTGTGATTGGCAGCACTGCTATTGCCCCCTTAAAAATAAGACTTTTAACAGCAGACAAGGAACAGATTAAAGAATATCTCACAGAAAGTCAGAAAATAGGAAGGCTTATTTACCCCATGACTGAAGGAGTACAAAGATACGTAGCTAGTGTTCTTCATGGACAGAAATGACAGAAAACTTGGGTTTAGAGGTGGCAATCACATGAAGAGGTAAAGGAGAACGAGGGACAAATTTGTCCGTGTTAAAAAGCCTCTGAAATACATTAAAACTATGTAAACATAACAGTAAAAACACTCGTGGATCAGATACATGACTGTAATGGTGGCAGGATACCCCAGAAAAGCGCTACGCCCTCTGTTGTCCTGATGGGGAAAACGCTTTGCAATGCTCCCCAGGTGAGTGGAAGGAAAACCCTTCCATCAATGCTTCTGAGTTGACAGAAGTGTTAAATCAGACTTTAGGCTTTTATTTTGAATTCATTGGTCTTTATTTTAGGCTTCATGTCTGCTCCAGAAGGTAAAGAGCTTAAAATGTGTTAACCAGAACAACAGAACAAAGTATAGCACAGCTCTCACTCACATGGGGATGCATATAATACATTAGTAATCAGGTCAACCATGAATGTGTTATAGAGCGTTATGCTTTACCTGTGTACCAGAGACGTTTCTGTGTTTTGATTTCACCAGGTGACCAGCTTCCTTAGAGAGGAGTCCAGGCAGAACACCCAGATCATCGTCATCTCTCTGAAGGAGGAGTTTTTCTCCAAAGCTGACGCTCTGGTTGGAGTTTATTCAACTGTAAGTAATTCGTAGCACATGTTTTAGAAGATGTTATTATTTTCACTGCATCTCAGTACAGTCATGATGTTTCTTTTGCACAGATTAGTGAGTGCATGTTCAGTCACGTTCTGACCCTGGATCTGCGTCCTTATCCTCTGGTTGAGGAGGGCAACGGGAACAACACAGGAGAAAACCGGGAGCACGATTCCTGTGGCCAAGAATAACCAAAAACGACTGCAGTTTGTTTCCAGCTCTGGTGTTTTTAGTGGAAACAGCCACGTCAACCTCCTGTTGTCTGGTTTGAGTTTCTTGTTTGGTTAAATCCAAAGTAAAGTTCTAGGTAAAGTTTAACCACCACAATGCAAGACATTTTAAAACAGTTGTACGTGTATTTTACACTTTCTAAAAGTTGTTGAATGTTAATTAATTACCTGTTATTGTTAAAATGTTTACTGTTGAACCCTTTTTGCATTGATGAGTGCATGTTCTGACCCTGGACCTGCGACCTCTGGTTGAATAGGGCAACGGGTGCAACGCTGGATGAATCCTCTGGCCAAGAATAACTCAAAACAGCTTCTGGTTGTTGTTCAAATTAAATGATTACTGTTGAACACTTACTGTGCTAAATAAAATTTCAAATATCAGCATTAAGTGTGCTTTAAATTTAAAATCCACTCTATTTAAAGGTTGAGTTTAATTGAACAGAGCCAGTTTATGCGTTAAACAAACCCAAAATATATCATTTAGGTCCAGGGGTGGATCTACAAGGGTGGCAAAGGGTGGCAGTTGCCACCCT